TAAAACGGAACAAATGATCGTGCTTATGTCTTTTCCCTTCTTCCTTCGCATCAGAGGAAAAAAGGGGGTTAAAATCTAAACCTACAGTGACGAAGGCGACGACGCAGAGTTCACTACCGCATTCGAACTGGACTTCCTCGACGTAGTCAACATGCTCAACATCGTGGATCCTATTGCAGCCCCACGTGATCTCAGGTTCAACGTGCCGGTTGAGCTGAAATATTCTGTAATTTTCCGACCGTTTCTGAAGGACTTTTCAAGGAACTCACCTGGTATCTAATGAACTACTCGAAACTGTCTTTTTACTCGCATCAATACCGTTACTTTCGACTGAATATCGTATAGATGCTCCTTCTGGTAGAATTGAACGCTGGAATTGAGCTCCTTTAGAAAGGTCTTGATTCCCAAAAAGAAATCAATCAAGTGCACTATTAGCAAATTATGGAACCTCAAATGACCTATAAAAAAGACGAGCTATGTAGAAATCAGATTTCATATTGACTTGGAAAAATTGGGTATAGAAGAAGAGGAAGTTGTTACATCCTAACATTGCCTTTATAAAGCCTAGTTTATAGGAAAACAAGAAAGCTCTGAGCAGAGGTTTGGAGAAAACGTCGCGATCCGAAGGGAAGAGACCAGGGTTTCTATCGCCCTCTATAACGAAGAAGATGCCTGGAACAAGGAACCATTAAATTTACCGTTCGACCAAACTTGTCCTCGACGTATTGTTTGTGTTCAAAGAATCCTTCGACAAGATGGTCATGAAATTGTTTGGTAATTTCTGTACGCGTTGCATGGGCATACAAGCAGAATTCCAGAATCTCCACCTTAACAGTGATGCGATTAATAATTTCAGAGTTCAAATAAAGGCATAAGTAAGTGAAGGTTGCAACCACCTGTTCGATTATTAGAGCGCTCAGGTGCATGGCAAGCTGCTTCTCTTCTGAGTCATAGATTCTGGAGCATTCGTCAGAGAAAAACACCTTCAACACTAGTAGGTCGACTCCCTTCATTTGATAATGTATACAAAAGTTGATTTACCTCATAGTTGCTGACACCACCCATTACAGCTGGACGGACTACACCAAGTATTTCCCCTGACAGCTTCTTCACAGCATGAATGCGATTGAGTAGCACCAATAAAGCCGTTTCCATCAGCTCTGCGTTCTTTCGCTGCATCTGATCGACCGAACGTCGCAACGGGATTCACGTAGATTGGTGGTGAAGTGGAGATTATCTGTAGGAAATATATCATTGCCGCTTAGTAGTGATAATAAAAAAATCGCCGCGAGGCGAAACTCGATTGCACACACTGTTTATGGGGGCAATAGCGACTCAAGAAGGCAACTCCAAAAATCGCCGCAATATCTGCTAATTGGTCGAGTAAGTGACAGCATTCGCCAGCACAGGTGCCCGATACACAGTTATTTTAGAAGAAGACGCGTTTCCGGATTGATGGTTTTCCTTTTTCCCAAATAGTTGAGTCAATGACAATTGACGCCGCTTGCCACGCAAAAACCAGGAGTCAGACCTTCAAACAGATTCCGTCCCAATGCAATAAGCAAACCGTTCACTTACGAATGATTCACTACATAATTCGGCGAGCAACTTACGAGCACCTATCACATAAAAAGGCCACTATGATTTTGAATAGGAGCAGAGCGTATTTAAAAAAAATGGAACCATCGACGTCGACTGCTTCACCAATTTGAGTGATTCTTTAGAAATCGTCTTCTGGGAATGGTTCAAGGAGTTATGGCGCAGCGAAGAACAAACTACCCCGGCCCGGATTTTTTTTACAATCAAAAAAAAAAGAAATTCTTTTACATCTGCAATGGGAATATCTCTGCTTGTGAAGACACTCGGTGGCTTAAGAATTACTGTGCGGCTCTTTATGCACACATCATTTGCCGAAGTTGTTGTTGCTTTAGTTGCAGCTATTAAACCCGTAATTTCAAAGGAGTATGGCGCGAGTCACCCATAACCTTTTACGTCCACAATTTTCATAATAATTTACCTGTGTTGATCGCAGGATACCCGGTAATCTTTCGTATGTTACAACTGTTCGTTTGACGATCCAAGTCCGCATTAGCTCCGAATCCTTCACCGCAGTCCATTTGGTATCCTTCCGCTCTTCTACGCGACTATACTCAAAGTCACGAATCTATAAAGAAAAAAAATTGGAAGAAAAATTCAATCTAGTAAAGGAAGTATTAGAATTAACGAAATAACTCACGTTGTAGTGTCGGTAGTAATCCTTGATGGAGGGATTGACGTGAGCGTCTTTGAATGGACATGAGGTTGGTATCGGATCCACATTGAAAACCTGGAAAGAAGAAACGATACTTCCTTAACGTTCAGGTTAACGGAGTGTAACCGATGAAAAAATCTCGAACCTGCATATATCGTCCAGGAGAATTTTTCAGATGTGAACAATCGTCCATGGACATGATTGCTTCGGGACCACCATAGATCTGGAAAGCAAATACACAAACTCATGGCACTGCTAGAAAAAACTTTATCCGTCCGGAATTCGAGACAAAATAAAACCACAAAATTTTCAAACTGCAATTGTTTGCAGAACAAAAAAAAACCTCATAACCATTGAAAAACATTGGCCAAGATTTAAAAAAATGATCGAAAGATCACTGGATTTCGACCGATCTTTCCCGAAAATGGGACACAGGGCTAAACACATTCAAGATCTCACAAACTGCTTGTGCCTTCCTTATCAATTTGTACTCAAGTTCGCAAAGATGCAGAAAACTGAACCTGTTGCATTCGCTGCATGAAATCGGCGTGGCGTTCCAACTTGTCACTGCGGAACACGAAACTGCAATAACATAATGGACCGACATAGTATCTTATGAGAGAAATAATTTTGTTGAGCCATAGCTTCAGAGAAAACACAAAGGATAAATAGATTGAAGAAGAATGGTATAGTTTATTCGAAAGCTAGTGATTTCTTCGAATTCGATATTTCGTCAAAAAGTGGTCAAACAACACTCAGAATGAGTCTTCCTCGGCCAAACTCCCCCTTAAGGAGTAACTTCTTCACTTTTCGGGCTGGGAGTTTAAAGAAATGAGCAAAAAAAGGTATCTGGACCTCTAGCGGGCTTCTAGAGACAGCTAAGGCTCCATCTACGTTCTGTTTAGTGTAATCTACCTTGATGTCTTGTTTCCGATTTTATTGCTGCCATTTCAATTAGCTTGTTACATGAAGTTCATGTGATAAAGATTGATTGAGTAACGAACCTGATCCCGTTCAGATAGCTAGGAAATCCCTTCCCATAGAAGGCCACAAGGTAGTAGTAGAAGAAAGCACGATTCTCACGATCAATTTTACGATATAGCTCAGCAATCCTTACCTTAAAGCAAGATTGATATAGAGATGTGAACACCAATGGAAATAACCTAGAAAACAAACCATTAACGAAGCCAATTTGTCGTAGTCAACATAAGTGATTTCGTAAACAGGCAAGAGTTCCCTGAAAATTAGATCATTTGTTAATAAAAGTCACAATGAAGCGATTTGTC